GCTTAGGAGAGCCTTTGTATTTTGTATGAAATCTGTAGCCATACACTTACAAACGATAGGACATGTGATGGAACGCATACGATATTTCAAAACATTATTTTCTCGGTAAAATACTTAGCGTTGTCATGAAGATAGCAGTGCTTTCTTCATCTAGAAGTGATGAACACGTTGATGTGGCTGTCACTTTCACTGCATGAAAGGAGCTTTCTAGAAGACGAGTTTCATCGAAAAAATGGACACGTGGCTTCGTTTAGTAATATGGCCTATTTGCAGGGCAAAACTGATGCAGACACGGACGGAGACAGAAATAAAACGAGGTTGTGTTGGGTTGGACCAAGTGTCCTCAACCCTTGGTGGACAATAGTTCTTGCTGTTAAACGGCTACATTTTCTGGCCTTCACATATTTTCATCTATCTTCTTCACGAATAATCTGAAAGCATGGTAATTCAACCTGTCTGATCAACCTAAGCGTGATATTTAACAAATCTTGTTGTGTCGCAGTTGAGTATCATGAATATCTTTACGCCTAAGTACAACCTTATATTGCAGCCATTGCCTATTTACAAAGTATTTATCGTTGGCAACTCTGCTGCGTACCTCATTTCCATATCAGAGTCTAAATCCGTTGTAGATCGAATGTCGCGTTGTTCGCTGGTCATAAATGCAGTGTATATAATGCGCTTGTCAAAGCGCATTTCACACTTTCAACATCGTGTGCTGCATTGTTCAGAGGCAAAAACTCCCCTTGGTAAGCTACTCCATCCGTTCAAGACTCGACGGAGGAATTTTCGGTGGGGAAATGTGTGGAAAACGTACAGTAAGAATCGTTCAGTTCAAAGACGCAAACCAAATAAAATGCAGGTATTTTTACATATGTGCCTAGTTAATATTCCTGTTCAATGTCCGCCTGTTCCGTCGTTGCAGAATTGCCCTCCACTGCCGTATGAGGGTGGATTGTAAACACGGGCGGTTACTCACCGTGCACTTGAAGCAACTTTGTGTATTGCAGTGTA